AGGATAGAGAACACAACACTCAACCTTCTTGCCCATATGCTTGCCTACCTACCTATTGTGCCCATCTACTTATCTAACCATTCTTCATCCATCCAATGATCCCTCCCTTCCTCCTTCTCCCTCCCTCCCTCCTTCCCTCCCTTCTTTCTTCCCTCCCCCAATATGCCACCCTCCCTCTGATCTTTTCACCCACCCATTCATCCATGCAATCAGCAAGTCAGCTGAGTTCTATGCTGCCAGAGGCATGTGGTGAAGGATGTAGATAAGATCTTTTAAATTTCTGAGAGTTTGCCACCTAATGGGCACACCAATAACTACAGGAAAGGCAGAATTCAGTCACTGCCCCCCTGCCCCAGGGGAGGTGTGTTCACGGATTAGATGTAAGGGAGATCATGCCAGCCCTTGGTCAATCTCCAGCAGAGCCACTTCCCTCATCCCAGCCCAGGCAGGGCTGGAGTTTTGAGGTATTAGATCATTGCCAGCCTTAGACAAAAAATTCTGGATGATTTTCTCCAAAGACACATAGGTCCTGCTATCCAGATACCCTGAGTCTGAGCCTGCCAGTGTCAAAGGAGACTCCCTCTTCTCCTAAAGTCTCATGCTCAGGTGTAAAGCCTGAACAGGAGGAGACAGATGCATCTAGAGATGGGGTGGGGTAGGGGAGGGTTCTTTTCCCCCAGGGAACACTGTGGTCACTCCCTACCCCAAGCGTCCAGTCTTGGCTAAAGCAGGGTCTTCAGGACACTTTGGCATGTTGGGTGGGAAAGCACAGGGCAAAAAGAACAATGTAATGGGGGAGCAATGTCTGAACATTTCTAAAGGACTGCTGGATCAAGGTCCTTAGAGTGTGGGACCACTCTTCCCTCTGTCCTGAGCCATGGGGCCACCAGACATGCTGAGATGATCTCCCTTGTTTATCTTTACTAGTGTTGGCATTATTCATCAATCAGTTACCCTAGCTGGCTCTTCTATAATAGTGGCTGTCTTCCCAGCCCATCACTGGATCCCCAAAGGTAAACTCACCATGATGTCTCGCCTTGGGGAACTGGAGCAGCTGGGCCCAGGGGCTTGGCCCTTGCCCTTCTCCCACAGTGTGTAGCGGCCACTGGGTCGATAGGTGGGACTGAGGATTTCAGGGACTCTTGAGGGAGGGGGTTGTGTGAGCACCTGTGGTGTGCTGCCCTTGCGACCATAGTTCTCCAGGTAGTCTGTTAAGTATTCCGATTGGCTGGCTGCCTGGTAGAAGCCCTGCAGAGCACAGAGCTCCTTACGTGTGCGGGCCAGCATGGGACTGCGCCCCATGTTCCCAGGGTCTATCCGGTAGCCATCTGAGGTCCGGTAGCCATCGGAAGTTCGGAGGGTGGAGAAATCCCGGGCCAGGTCTGATTGGCTGTTTGATTTCTTCTGGCTCAGGGTCACCCCCTGATCACAGGCACTCATGGGCAGGTAGCTGAGGGAGTTGCTGGTCACTCCATATGGAAATCCACTGCCTCCGTTGAGTCCACTGCCTGATGGCCGCTCAGTGCCCCGGGTCTGGCTCTCAGCCCGCTTACTACCGCCGAGAATGTCTGGTCTCAGCAGGGGGCGGCCACGGTCATAGTCCAGGATCGGGGAGGGCCCATAGGTGCGGGATGAGGGGAGGAAACTGGTTGGGGAGACCCGCTTGAAACCAAGTTTTTCCTTCTCCAGGAAGGAGGCGGCCAGGTTGGCCCCATAGGAAGAAGGGGTGTAGGTACCATAGCCCGATTTGGCATAAGGGGCATCTGTGTATCGGGACGATTCTGTGTAGCGCTTCAGGGTGGAGGAGAGCTGGGACATCCTTCAGGGTGGCACTTAGTGTGTACTGGGAGCCTCATGGGCTGAAAGACAAGGAAAGAGGTTGTCAAAGGGACTTGCAAGGTGCCAAGCTCACTCTGTGCTTGCTTTCCTTACCAGATGGACCAGGATATTAGGGCTCAATAGGGGCCAGCCATTCAGTGCCTGTCCCCAGGAGTCTGGCTAGCGACAAACACACATGCACACAGGCATGCACATGGGCTTGTGTGTCCATGCATCTTCAAGATAAATCAACATCAGCATGCCCTGGTCAGTCTGAGGGCTCTCGAAGACCCAAATATGCAAAAGGAGCTGCTGGGCCACCTCTAGAGCCCTTGATGCCATAGTACTCTTTCAGTCAAATCCTGTCCAGCTCAGTTTCCACAGAAGAGTTTGAGCTGGGGGTTCCCACCAGACCTTTACCTCCTAGACTAAGAGCACTGGCATCCTGAGTTATAACTGCTCCCCTTGCTCTGATTTACCATCCACTGGAATGTCCCAAAGATGACATAGGGTCAGATCCTTCATGAGAAAAAGGGGTCTGGTGAGAGGAAATGAGCATGACAGGTGAGCTAGGAAGAGTGGTGAGGGAATGTCTGGTAGATGGGCTAGACCCTGGTCTCCAGACTCACCTCTGTGCTCTTCCTTAGACACGTGTCTGTATGGGGCTCAGCCTATTCCACACCATCCTGAGTTTGACCTCTTCTAAGTGGAGTTTAAGGGCTGATGGCTTCCTCAGGGAGTCACACACAGAAGCCAAATTGATCCTGTAGAGACTTGACTCATGCAAGGGGCGCCCCCTAGAGGCAAAAATCCTACACTGCAGATACCATTTCCAGACTCCTCTGGCTCTTGTAAGCTGGGGTGAAAGAACACCCAATGTGGAGCTTGGGAGGCCCTAAAGAACACGTTTTTAACCTCTCCATTTTACAGATGGGAAAATGATGTTGGTTTTCCCAAAGCCACATGCTACCTAGAATCAGGACTGGAATCCAGGCCTTGGCCTCGAACTTTTTCCCCTTAGCTTTCCTTTACCACTTGTCATCAGGGGGGCTGGGGACCCCAAAAATCCCTTCATCATTCCAATATGCCAACTTTCTTGCCAATGAGGCAGGAATGGAAAAGGAGCTTTGGAGAAAAGACCAAGTAGGATCAGGCTCTTTTCCTGGGGGAATCCCAAGGGACTCTTGGGGGGCCCTCAGGGTGGTGTGTGGGGGGGAAATCTATATCTGTCCAGGACTATCAGAGTATCAAGCACAGTTTGCTATTTTTTTTTGTCTTTTTGAGATAGGGTCTCCCTTTAGCCCCAGCTTGACCTGGAACTCACTACATAGATGAGGCTGGCCTTGAACTCACAGAGATCCACCTGCTTCTGCCTCCCATGTGCTGGGCTCAAAGGTGTGTGCCACCACGCATAGATCCTTTTTTTTCATTTCATAATTATTATAAAGTGTGTGTGTGTGTGTGTGTGTGTGTGTGTGTGTGTGTGCACATACCATGTGTGGAGGTCAGAAGACATCTTGTGAGAGTCTGTTCTCTCCTTCTACCATGTAAGTTTTGGGGACCTGACTCAGGTTGTGGCAGCAAGTGCCTTTGCTGGCTGAGCTATCTCACCAGCACCAGGGCTGGTTTTGACCCCCCCTGTGACAGACTAGCTAGGTGAAATTATACTAGTCATTTAACCTCTTTGAGCCCCAATTTCCTCATGTGTAAATGAGCATAATAATTATCATCAGGATTTCTATCTCACAGGGTTGTTGTGAGGAATAAATGAGATAATAACACGTGAAAGCACTTAACAATGACTGGTTATTATCTCCTCCCCCAACCCCTGCCAGGCAGCCTGGCTCCTCCCTTTGTAGTCTATAATAATGTCAGAGCTGGCCATCTCACAGCCTAGCTGGCTCAACCTCAGCCCAGGAGCCAGGCTGCTACTCCCAGTGAGTTAAGTGGGCAGTGGGCAGACATCTAACTGTTCAGTAGACACTGGCTTGGGCAGCCCACAGTCTGCCTAGGCTGGCATCCCAACCTACTAGGGCAGAGAGGAACTAGGGCAGAGAGGAATTAGTGCCAAGCCCCAAACGCTGAGAGCTTGGCAGAAGGCTGAAGAGACTCAAGCCATTCAAGACGGGGTGGGAGGTGAGCAGGTGGCCCCAGAACAGTGCTCTTTAATTCTGCCAGAGACCTCTAAGCGATTTTCAGTCCCCGCTGGTTTTAGAAAGGGTCTCCATCTTATAATTTTCCCTTTTCTTTCCTGGCCCTGGAGATCCCAGTACCTTTCATGTATATTCCCTTGTCCACTGTGTTCTCTCCTCCCCGACAACTTCCACTCTACTCTGGGAAATGGTAACTTGGGGTGGGGGATCTAAAGCAGGGACAGAAGAAAACCACTGGGGGGGAGACATACAGAGGCTGAGGGGTGGGTGCTGGAGACTTGTCCTCCTCTATTTCACGTTGGAGAACTCCATCAATAATGCAAAGTCAAAGAGACTTCAGGTCTTAGGAGTGCAGGGACACCCAGTAGCCAATCAGATAGGCCCCCACCCCCAGGGTATGAGCTCATGATTCCTCCCCATGGCCCTTTTCCCTCCTCCAGACTGAGGCTCCTAGGGAATTGGTATTCTGTGGGCGCTGCCCCAAGCCTGTGACCTCTCTTAGCCCTGAAGATGACGCGCAAGTGCCCAGGCCAAACAAGATACAACAGACAGGGACAGGCAGCCTGGATAGACATGGGCTGTATTTGGAGTCTTATCTTCTGGCTCACAGAACCCCAGGGAAGGCTCCCCAATTTCAGCCCTCCTGTCTGCTCCAATCTGACAGACAACTGTCAAGGCCTCTCCCCTCCCCCTCAAGCAGTTCCATGAATCATTCCATCACACCCCCTAGAAACCACCACTCAGCTCTGATGTCTGCCTTACAGCTGTCAGGGCTGGGAGAGGGTCCCTGTTGGAGCTGAGGCCTTGCACACATCTCTCTCCTCCATTAAACCCTAGTCTTACTGGAGACAATCCCAGCACCCTCGAGGTGAGAACACAGTTTAAGTTGGTGCCCCTTGGCATTACCTGGCACTGCTGTCTCTGGAGGTTGAAGAACACACCAGGGGTGGGAACTCAGGCTAGGGATTGGCCGTGGCCTTGCTATGCAAGACAGGGACAGGACTGGGCAGCACTCACATGGCTTCGAGTCTCCCTGTTGCCACAGGAACAGCCAGGACTGAATGGCTCTTTCATGGGACAGTGGGAGGCGAGCCCATTGGCTGAGATCCCCCATACCCCTCCCTGTCCAGTGTGGGGCCCTGCTGCCCATCTCCTTTCACTGTTTACCCAGAACTGGCAAGTTCAGGCATGCGGCTCCAGGCAGTGCCTCACCAGGTGCCTGCCACCTTGGACAATGGGGGTAGTCCTTACCCACACTGCTCCTTCTTCATGCCATCTTTAGAGAGGTGCCAGCTCCTCCCTTCCTTCTCAGAGATTCAGAGATTCCCCATGGTTTTTCTCTGTTTCCTTAGGAAATTGGCATGCCAGAATTCCTCTGCATAGAAGCACTCAGCTTTCCATGTGGACACCTGAGCCAAGCAGCTGTGTCTCCTGGCCAGCTGGTGTCCCACACGTATGGACGGGGCATCAAGCATGCTGAGGACCTCACATGCAGCTTCTGATTTTATCTCACATGGCTTTCCCCTGCATTCTTTTCTCCTTTAAAAATATTTTTTATTTTCATTTTATGTGTATGAGTGTTTTTCCTGCATGTTAGGTGCACCTGTGCATGCAATGCCCATAGTGGCCAGAAGAGGGCACTGGATACCCTGGAACTGGAGTTACCGAATGTTGTTAGCTGCCATGTGAGTGCTGGGAATTAAACCCAGATCCTCTGCAAGAGCAGCCAGTGTTCTTAACCTCTGAGCTCTCCAGCCCTCTCTGCAGTCTTTTCAGTGCACTGATATTCAGAGTTTTAAAGTCTTAGTGCAGGTGTGAGCTTGAACTCTTTCAGATACAGAGGCCTCATGCTTGCAAATATCATTGGAAAGATTATTGTTTAAATTAAAAAGAATACCCATAATTCTAAATGCACAAGAAATTTAAATAGCTGGGTGAGGTAACCTATGCTTTTAATCCTAACACTCAAGACATAGAGGCAGGAAGATCTCTATGAGATTGAGGCCAGCCTGATTTACGTAGCAAGTTCCAGGTCAGCTGGCGCTACAGGGGGAGAAAAGAAAAGACATTAAATAGTGATTTCTTTTTGAGACATGGTCTTGCTCTGTAGCCTAGGCTGGCCTCAAATGTTCTATATCCTTCTTCTTCTGTCTCCCAAGTGCTGGGATTATAGATATAAACTACAACACCCAACTAACAGAGAAACTGTCACATGAAGTTTTTAGTGCTCTTATTTCCAAAGGTTTTAACATTGAAAGCCACAGTGACTTGGATCACAGTATATTAACTCAGTCCTTCGGGCAGCTTTAAGCAGCTGGTGCCATCAGCCTGTCTACTTGCAGATAAGGAAATGAGTGTTTCTGGAAGTGATCCTGATCTCCCAAAGTCACACTGGTTGGTGTAGTTGTAGAACTGGGATGGGACCTATACTCTGTCAGCTTTGCTCTCCTGGACCCTCCCTGGGTTGGAGCAGGGCTGTGGGGCCTGTTGGGTGGTGAGAGGACTCCTACAGGATCCAGTCATCCACTTATCCAGCATGGAGGGTACCGATTCCTGCAGGAGTGGGCCCCTGGATTTTCCACTGTAGGCAAATGAAAGAGAAGCCAGGCACAGAAACCTGAGCTGCAGTTCAATACTGAGAGGCCACAAGATGGTACGAGAGGCCTCCATTTCACCTGCTGTGCCAGGCTCTGCATGTCCCCTGGCACTGGCATCTACCACAGCCCAGGCTCTTGACCCTAGCCTGGTTGTAGACATATCCCCCAGCCTCCATCTCCTGGCTGTAGCTTAGCCCACTTCCCAGGGTACTGATACTAGGTGAATCAGAGGTTAAAGTGAACCCTGTCCCTTGAGGCAGTCAACCTCTTTGCATCAGCCATTGTCATCAGTCACTGTCATTTCCTGTAGCTCACGTGAAGGGCTCCCTAACCTGCCCAGCTAGGGGAGGGACTTACTCCTCAAGAATCCCAGGCACTCCTGGCTCTGAGGACAGGGAATGGACGATGGCCCATATCCAAGCCCCTCTCTTCCCAGATGAGCTCAGCTTTCTGAGGTGAAGACATACTTCTGTGACTTTGCCACTGCCTGGACAGAATCCCCCACCCTCCTCAAGCTGAACTCCACAGAAACATGGACACACCCCAAACAGTGCCAAGTCCCTTCCCTCCTCCTACCCAGGTGCTCAGGGCACGTGATTAGGGAGTCCCAGTCAGTCTCACCAGGTGCTTGGGAACCTCCAGAGTGGTGACCTCAGAGCTTCCCAAAGCTGTTGGCTAACAGCATCAGAATGTGTTGACCCGAGGAGTAAGATGGGTTGAGAGGGGCCCTGTCACACTCTCTGACCCTTATCTCTGGCTGCTCTGGTCCATTGCTACACTGGCCACAAGTGCCCACTCTGGAAGTGTGGAGGAGGCCAGTAGAGGATGGGGTGGGGTACATCCACATTTCACACCATCTGCTCCTTTGAGGCCCCTTGAGTCCCAGCACACCCCTCTAACCTGTTGCTAGTACCTGATCTCTTCATCAGGGACTGGTGCCTAAACCCATCAGCTTATTCCAGAATCTGCTAGGGGTCATACAAAGGAATTTCTGTCCATCTCTATCTCTCTAGCTTCTAGGAGGTTCCGAAAGCTTGGGGGTAGGGGGATGAGCAGGTAAGATAAAGAGATGGGAGATTAAGGCAAGCATTCTGACTGGTGGAGATGAAGTGGGTGGGCCCAGGAGAGTGTTCCTATAGGGTACTTCTTGATTTGGGGTTGGGAGGGGGTTGGGTACCTCTACAAGTCCAAGAAAATGCAACGAAACAGGTTTCCAGGAAGTATGGGCATCCTTCAGTTCTCTTTCCCAACTCTTTTGCCCAGTACCTTCCCAGCACCTCCCTCTGGGGAGAGTCTGGTCTCCCTCCCTCTCCTTTAGGGCTTCAGTTGTCCTCTGTCCCCACATCCAAAAATGCATTTGGGTTAGTACACAGCACTCACTAGGCCCCATAGGTGGCCTCTCACAAACTTACTCAGGGGCCACTTGGCTACCTCATAAAGCTCAAATACCAAAGGGACAGCTACTGACCTGTGTCTGGGGGGCACTGGATAGGACCTGGGGGCTTCTATTCCAGCCATGCAAGGACTGTAGTGAAGAGTCCAGAAGCAAGAGTCTGACTGGGGCTGGGTAATCCGGAGCTCAGGTTACCGCTAGCTCGATATATATATAGTATCTTATCTGACCTCGAAGAGATGGCAACTCTCTTGCATTCCAAGCCCAGGGAGAATTAAAGGGGCAGTAACATGCCCACCTTCCACCAGCTGCCTAATGGCCAGGTGCCAGCCAAGGAGATCTAGCTAGAATCTTGGGAGGGGGCATTCAGATGTAGAACAAGTAGGGAGAGTGAAGGGGAAACTGGAAAGAGGGCAGAGGGCTGGGGCTGAATGTGAATCCAAAACATGGGGAAGGTAGATTTTCTAGAACTGTTAGTTGCAGAATTAGCAAACAGGAGGAAGCCAAACTGCCAGTCTGGCTGCTGGAATTTTGAGATAGAAAGGGACAGATGAGACCAGCACTCAAGTTTCAGTCCACTATTTTATAATGGACTTCTATGTCTAGGTCTGAATTCTTTTCTTTTCTTTTCTTTCTTTTTTTTTTTTTTGAGACAGGGTTTCACTAATGTAGCCCCTGGCTGGCTGGTCTGGAACTCACTATGTAGGCTGATTTCTAACTCAACAGAGATCCTCCTGCCTCTGCCTCCCTAGACCTGGGATTAAAGGCATGTGCCTCAATGTCTGGTTTATAGGCCTTTTGGATCTAAGACAGTTAACAAGTTACTTAAGTGCTCTGAATCTTAGCTATTTAATTTGTAAAACATGAATAATAATTGAAGGGAGATCTCCATAAGCCCCAAACCATAAAGCAATCCTTGCTCTCAAACAAGCCTGTCCCAGACCCCCATAAAGTTCTGCTAACAGTCCCCACTTTGCAAACAAGCCCTTCTGAGACCCTTATGGGCAATACAGGCCCCAAATCCCCTACCCAACTCCCAAACCTCTATTTACATACACAAAGGTACTTATGCTCCCCTGCTGTTTGGCCCTTGTGGCTACAGCAGACTCCTGATGGTCGGTAGTTACCCCTCACTGACTAATAAAGGTTGATGTGGATTCTATGAGGTTGGTTGCTTTTCTGTTCTACCAGCAACTCTTTCAACTCCTAATCTTAACATTTTGGTGCCAAAATCTGGGAGAGGGTTCTTACCTTAAAACCCCTAATTCCTTATGATATGCTTTATAGTGGTGAGGACAAAATACCATTTTTAAACTTCCTGGTTTTTAAACTTCCTGGCACATATAGCAAGAGTTCAATCAATGATGATTTTAATATTCCTACTACTAATTTTTATTTATTTATTTATTTATTTATTTATTTATTTATTTATTTTCTGAGACATGGTCTTCCTGTGCTCCCAGCTGGCCTGGAACTCCCTGATAGATCAGGTTGGCCTTGTGCTTGCAGAGATCTGCCTGTCTCTGCCTCCCTAGTGCTGGGATTAAAGGCACACTCTATTTCTTATTCCAACCAGTGCTAAAGCTAGTAGTAGTAGGTAACATATCTTAGAAAGTGACCCTTCTTAGAAGAAAAAGGCCTCAGGCTACCTACCCCTCAGGAGGAGTGCGCTACTGCCAGAGACCAATCCTGTGGTTTTCAGAACTGGTCCAAGTCCCCAAAATGGAAAGAGAAGACACATCTTGCTATCTTTCCAAGGCCACAGGCCAAGCACATTTGGTCTCCTTCCCCCTTGCTTAGAAAAATATAGCAAGTGCAGCTTCCCAGATTGCCCAGAGCATGCCTGACCCCTGAGGCGTGGTTCCACTCTACCTGTTGGAGGGCTCAGGATTCCAGGGTGGCAGAGCCAGTCTGGGCAGGGTCTCTAGAGGAGGAAGCTGGGTTCTTGTCCCTCTGGTCTTGGTGCACCTGTCAGCTCCCTGGATGATTCTCCTGTTTCTCGATGGACTCTCCCTGAGGACTGGGAGGCCCCGTGGCTGGTGCCTCCACCCTGTCTCAGTACACCATACTGACTCAGACTAGGTCCTGATGATGTGGTAGGAGGACAGATGCCCTCATTCCAGTCCTCATTCCAGAATGGCATGCATTTACAGCATCAAAAGACCAGGGGACACCCCAACCCTAGCCCATCCCTCAGTCAGTTCTTTGCTATTGCTTTATCAGGTGATTTAGGGGGGGGGCGGGCGTTCTTATTGTCCATGTTTGGAGAGATAAACAGCTCCTACAGTGATCTCCAACTCAGTCTCACTCTAAAAGCACCTGGGCCAGGAGTTAAGAGTTCTTTCTCCTCAGAAGAGCCAGGGCCTCCCTTGGCAAGGTCCTTGCCCTGCATGCTTGCTTTTGCTTTGGGATTGGTGATACTTTCAAAGTTGCCTCTTTCTGATTTGGGATTGGTGGAAAAATTTACCCTTTGCTTAACTGCTAGCTTCTCCCTAAGCCCCCTTCCCCCCTTTGGGAAATTGACCAGAGACAGTCCCCCAGAGAACATTAACAGCAGGGGCAGCTTGCTGCACACAAAAGAAGGGAGAGGGGCTGTTAGAATCCAGGCGTCATTCTCAGGCCACACAGCACTCAGGGCACTGGGACATGTACCCGCCTTAGCAACATTTCCTCAGAACACATTGATCAGCACACAGATGGCTCTTCCTGGCACCCTGGGCTATCAGCTGTCAGCCCCTCTCACACAATGGCACCCACAGCTGGAGTTCCTCCCGCACAGCTGGCCTTCGCCCTACATTTCTTGTATCCAGACTATCGCTGACACCTCACTTTCCGAGCCGACACTGACCCCTGCTTTCCCCTGGCCCATCTCCGACAGGTGGTACGTACCTGCCTCTTCTCGGAGGATGGACGAGTCGAACCGGGCACAAGCATGGAGTTGCGGATGAGTCCTGGCTGGTACTGGTGCGGCGCAGCGAGCAATAGCTGACGCAGAGGGCTCCCTGGCCTCGCTCGGTTCCAGCCCGCCTCTCCCCCACCTCCGCCGGGGGCCCAGAAAGGACCTCCCCGGGAAATCGGCGCCACCCAGCGGGCAGCTGCCTCATTGCGCCCGGGCCGGCAAAGCCACACCCGCGTCACGTCACGGACACACGTCACGGCTATTGGCTTGTTCCTATTGTGTCGTCATCAGAGCCCCGCCCGGCGTGGGTCTCCCAGGCAACCGGGATATACAGAGAACCACGTGGAGGAAAAGCACATCTGTTTGGAGAGGTGGCACCGGGAAAGAAGTGGACTGGATGGAATGTGGGCGGCTGGAAGGTACCGAGACAGAGGTCACGGGAGAAGGCGACGTACCAATTTTCAGATTTTACGGAAGGTTTGGTGGTCCTCCATCCTTACCCACAGACCTGGGGTTGGCCTCAGCCTCTTCTCTGCCTACCCTATTTATTTTATATATATGTGTATAGGTGTATTGCCTGCATGTATATAAGTGCACCCGTGTAGTGCAATGGTCCCCAGAAGATAGAAGAGGTCGTTGGTCCTCTGGAACTGGTATTACGGTCAGTCGTTAGCAGCCATGTGGGTACCGTGTCTTCTGCAAGAACAGTCAGTGCGCTTAACTGCTGAGCCATCTCTTAGCCCTAAATATATTTATTTAAAAAACAGCCAAGGGGCTCTGACTACTCTTGCAGAGGAACTGGGTTGGGTTCCCAGTACCCACATGGCAGCTAACAACTGTAACTACAGTTCCAGGGGATCTGACGCCCTCTTCTGTCCTCTGCAGGCATTGCACGACATGGGTGCACTTACATTCATGCAGGCAATACACGCATACACATAAAAAACAAAACAAAAAACCCCCAAAACCAAGTAGGGCCAGACACGGTGGCACACTACTTTAGCCCTAGCTCTTGGGAGGCAGAAGGAAGGGGATCTCTGTAAGTTGGAGGCCAGCCTGGTCTACATAGCAAGTACCAGGCCAGCTAGAGCTACATAGTGAGATCCTATCTCAAAGAAACCCCCCCCCCGCCCCCAACCAGGTATATCTCAATGCAGTTATTTACAGAGCTACATCAATCAAGCAGGCAAAAAGATTATGTCTGTTTGTTCAACAGGCAGATCACTGAGAGTTTGAGCTCAGGCTGGTCTACATAGTTCCAGAACTACATAGTGAGACCCTGTCTCAATAAACCAAAATAAAATAAAGTAAAAATAAGATAATATTTGCCAGGTGTGGAGGCAGAGTCAGGCAGATCTCTGTGAGTTTGAGGCCAGCCTGGTCTACATAGTGAGTTCCAGGCTAGCTGGGGCTACTGGGAGACCCTGTCTCAAAAAGACCAGAAAAAAAAAATAAAAAAGTTACAATTCATATTGCTATTCAAACAATCCTATGGGCCATTTATTAAATACACTACTTATTAAGCACTGTACTAAGTACTTTACATATATTAGTTTTCTCATTTGGTCTTTTAAAATGTTTTATTTATTATTTTTATTTTATGTGTATGAGTGTATTGCCTACATGTATGTGAGTGCACCTGTGTCATGCAATGCTGCAGAGGTCAGAAGAGGGCTTCAGATTCCCCTGGAACTGGAGTTAAGGACGATTCATAGCTGCCATGTGGGTGCTGGGAATTGAACCAGGGTCCTCTGCAAGAGCAGTCAGTGCTCTTAACCACTGAGCCATCTCTCCGGCCCCTCATTTGGTCATTTTAATTGTCCTGCCAAATGAGAACCACTATTTCCATCTGTTGTACAATGTAGCTGAAACCCAGAGGGGTCATGTCATGTGTCTAGGGTCATCAGCTAGCAAATGACAAGGATAGGAATGATTGTCCTACTGTGAACCCAGATAACATGGGCCCATAACATTTCTTTTTTTTCCATTTATTTTTCTTTATTAGTCCCATAAATGCATATCACCTCTCCTGTCCCTTCCCCTCCCTCCCTTCTCCCTCCTTCTTCTTCCCACCCTCCATCCCCCCCTCTTTCTTTCCAACACCGTCTACCTAATTCTAGCCCACCTAGAACTCAGTATGTGGACCAGGTTGACCTAGCAGAGATCCTGCTTCCTCTGCCTCCTGAGGGCTGGTTAAAGGCATATGCCACCATGCCTGGCCCATCCCATTCTTTCTTAAATTTTGCATCTTTTTTCGTCAGAAAATGCAAGAATTTTCAAACCACCAAGTTCTATGTATTCTTCATTAATTGTCTACTCAGTTTTCTATTATTTTAAAAATCTTTTTGGGACATGGTCTCCCTGTTGCCCCAGCTGGCATGGAACTCTCTATAGAGAGCAGGCAGACTTCAATCTCACAGAGATCTGCTTGCCTCTGCCTCCTGAGTGCTGGGATTAAAGGCGTGCATCATCACCCCTGCCTCAGTTTTATCATTCTTAATTTACATTTTAGTTTAAACATAAGGTAAAATCATGGCATCTCTTTAGGAATTTGGTGGGAAATCTCCTGTTATACCCCAAGTGCACATATTCCGATTTCAATAGCACCTCAGGTGACAGCGTTGATGTTTTCTTCAAGAACGTAATACAATTCATAAGTGAATTGTTTCTCACTTCATTTAGGGTCCTTACTAGCAAGGACAGAGTTGGTAGGAAGGAATAAAATATATTCAAGCACCATTGATCTTAAGAAGAGAGAAGACATTTGCCTTAAAGCTGTTTGGCAGTTTAGGAGTGAAGAGTGTTTTTGCAGGGAGGGAAAGGAAGTACAATGAGACTGGAGAATGTCTGTACTTAAGGGTCTTCCTCATCCACAGGCATGACTCTTTAAAAAAAAAAAACTTCAGAAGAAAGAAAGCAATAGATGCTGACCTCCAGTAGCCGATTAACTTAAGATTAAGTAAGGGTTCTATAAATGTCCTCAGATGTCAGGATTCTCTGATTCTAGACAAAGTTTTCACACTTTTTCCATCCAAAAGTTAAGGAGGAGCAAAAGAGCAACAAAGGATATATTTGAAAGTCAGCTTTGAAGGGGTCCCTGTAAAATTTTCGTTACCAACCAGTAGTTCAGACATTTCTAAAATGCTGTGGTCACTACCCCAACTACCCAGTCCCAAAGCAGTTCCCATTTTCAAGTTTTGTTATGGCACCAACCTATCTCAATATCGAAGTTATATTTATTGTCTATTGCTATGTTATAAATTACTCAAAATTTGTTACTTTAACCTACAATATTCATTAATTCACAGCTTTATAGTTGCTGTTGCTTTTACATTAAAGATTTCATAAGCAAAAATTCCAAGTGCAGTTTAGTTAGCTCCTCCAGTTCAGAATATCTGTAAGTGATGCTTATGATACTAGCTGGAGTTTGGATCAAATCCAGGTTCATCTGAGAAATAGTCTATTATTCACAGGCATTTATTGGGTTGGTACAATTCAGTTTTCCAGAACCTGGCTGTCTGAGCCACTTCTATAACTGCTTGTTTATGGACCTTTCAGCAAGAAGCTCTGCAAGGCAGATGTCCCACTAAATTAGGAGAGAGCTAAAAGAGTGCACACAAGGTTGAATTCAACTCTACTTTGGAATTTAACAGGATTTCATCTCTTTTGTTGTATTTCATTACAAGAAATTACTTAGAAGGTCCACTTTATTGAAGGAGTGCCAAGGTCATGAATCTCTCGAGACAAATATTATTGCTACCCCTTTCTGGAGCTACCTACCACACAACCATGAACACATTACCTATAAGTTGTGTGGAAGCAGAATCTGCCCTTATATCATCTCATGGAGTTATGGACAAGTAAGAAAGGTCATTGTTAAAAAGAGATCAGCTAAATTCATGAAAGTAAATAGAACAAGAACAAAACCTACATATATTAAACCATTAGATCACAAATCCTTTAGTTGTTTTTCCCTTTTCTAGAAATGAGGCCATCCCTTCCTGCCATCTCTTTCTTCATGGAAACAATGCATTCTATGGCTTTATAGTCTCCCTCCCCTTCATAGATGGGAGAAAGCTCAAAAAAACTTTGAATTACAACATTACTTTTTTTTTTTTTTTAGAAGAAGCATTTCATTACAGCTTTAACATACTCATTAACATTTTCCAGAGCAAAGACACATCTCTTTCAAAAGTGGCTATAAAATTTTTAGGTTCACTGTTGAATTAATATAGTTATACAGTGTTGAACTCAGTATAAACCCTGTAAGACATAAAATTGAATGAAGTTTTAACCTTTAAAAAAGATCTCCATCTCATTTTAAAATATACTGCTTCCTACAGGAAGATTCATTGTTTTTTTCTCATAACACTGAGATGTTGGCACATGCATCTCTAATCTGTATGTATCTCATTATTACTAGTCATAATCGGTTGCACTCGGATCCTTGGCGCCTGTGTATGTCTATAAGTCATCAGGTAGATTTCAGTGGTAATGTTTATCACCTCTACTAATTAACATGATGTAAATTTTTATGCTTCCTTCTCAAATATAATTCATTTTTAAAAATTTCTTGATTTTTTTGTGTGTATATCACACAGAACATCCCAAACCTATCTTATTCAACTGTGCACCCACTTCCCATATGGCACCCTCCCATAGCCTCCCTCCCGCCACTAGAGCCCCTTATACTCTGTTATCCCTGCTACTGTCTGCTGTGATGTCATCACCCCCAGCTGTTCCCTACTACTTGTCCATGTAGTAAATCTAGCTAGTCAGCCTATCTAGAGGTCTTTGTTTTAGGAAGGTCAGCTCTTCCTCATTTAGCAGCAATTGGTTGTCAACATTCCTTTAGATAAGATTGGGGTCTGCTGTTCATTTTCCCAGTTCTATGCTGGCTTATTATCTGGGAGTCCCTTGGGCCACCCTGGCCAACAACTCAAAAGAAGGTATCTCCTATCTGGAATTGTTGCTTGTTATGTAGCCTTTGGCTATGCGTATGGACTCTTAAGAAACTATATTGGCCCCTTTAATCTTTGGTTATACTTTCCTTTTGGGTGTTTAAGGTCATACAGTTGGCCCAGATAAACCAATTTATTTTCACT